ACTCTCATATTCACGGTGCTGACAATCTCTCCTCGTTCAGGGCTCCTCTTTTTTTTTTTTTTTTTTTTTTTTTTTAATGACGAATGATGGTGTCTCGATGGAGGAGGGTCGCGCGTGACATGCGACGACGACACATTGACGTTCAAGAATTCCAAGGTTCTCCTCTCATTTAATGGGGAAATATATACAGGGATGTGATCGATGATGGTTAGAGCGATGCTACATTCGATTAACCATTTCGAGTTATCATTCCCAATGCTGTGCGTAGAATCTCGTATGATTTTAGCGTAGGGGACAATCGCGTGACTTCATTTACTTTCGAAATGTTATCTAAACGAATGAGACTTGTAATTTATGACATATTTTATGTAATATCCATCTGCTAAATTCTAAAGAAGACGAAATTTATGTTACTACGTTCATTTGAAATTATGAAAATTGAAAGATTCTTTTATCTTTTACATTAGTTAGCTGTTAACGAAATTATTTTATCAAGATAAATGATGAAATTAGTGTTAAAATACTAATCTTGCTAAAGCGTACAATACGCATTTCATAATTTTATTGAATATTTTTTTTTTTTTGCATTATTCGGACGTTATATTGTCCTTTATTACTTCAAATGTTATATGATTAAAAGTTGCTCATACTTCTATAATATGTTAAATTGATTGAATAATGGCGCATTTGAAATGAACAATTCAAGAACAGAAGCTCAATGTGCACACAATTGTTATATCAGTTTTATTGAATAAACGGTGTAAAAGAAGTTCGCGAGATAAGTACAAAGTATCGCAAAGTTAAACACGAGCGTTGATATGTACATTAAAAAAAAGAGAGAAAAAAGGATAATATATTAATAATATATCTCAATTTGGAATAATACATGTATAAATTATTAAAGTTCATTAATATGTAGGGGAGAATGGTACCTGGGGATGTTCCATGCGGAGATACGAAGTTACTGTTTGCCAATATTATTATTTCAACTGTTTGGAAAATCGAACGTTAGAAAGAATTAATGGTTAAGTTACATTATCATAATTATGTCACAATATGGTGATATTAATTTTAAAATTAGTATTCCTTGACATAATCCGGAAAAATGAGTCTCGGTCGTTTGTACGAATTTGTATATTTACGAATAATAAAGATGCTTATAAAGAAAGGAAAAAGAAAATAAATAAGCTCTTTCCTACATTACGATCTTAATACGCGTAAAGTCAGATATACTGACTAATACTGATTTATGTGCTCGTGCGTGCGTGTGCATCGTAAGAGAAACGTACGGATATGGTGCACAGGCAGAAAGATTCATACTGTAAAAAAGAAATGATTTATTGCCAGTAGAATCTGCCTTTGGCAATCGATTACTACTCACGAGCTGCTGCTGATGCTTCGGCTTCTCAAACTAACTCTTAAGAGAAAAAGTTTAGAAAAGTCGAACTTCGAGCTTGCAATTTATTATCGACTTTTAAGAAAACCTTGAGGATAGGGCAAAATACATCATACCCGAGCTATTATTTGTAATAAATAGTAAATTCTTAATTCACGCTAATTAATTATAAAAATAATTTAATGAAACATTTGTTGAAGTTATCTCTCAAAAGACTGTTAATAGTGAACGACGGTGGTGTCGTTTAGTGGGCGATAAACATTTTTAAAATTGGAAAAAAACTCATGCTTAAATAAAAATAATATTATACTTGACAGTATAATGTACTTTTCCTCGTGATAAAATAGTCTTGTAGAGTAAATTGCTCTTTTGAAGACCTTTGTTAAATATTAATAATTGTCACGAAACATAAGGGATCAGTAAAATCAATGAAATAATTTTACGAATCAATGCTCAAAAATAATAATTGACTTATATTTTACATTTACGAGTCTGCATTGCAATGGGTCTTTCCAAAACATATTTCTTTAACGTATTTTATTATTTCTTCCCGATTAATAACATGTAAAATATAAACGAGATTTACATAAATTTGTTTATTGAATGATATTGCAGGTAAAATGGAAAATTAATAGCGAAAAGTAAAATCGAATAGCAAATGAAGAACATAATTTTTGGCATATTTTTTGCAATATCGGGCCATTAAACATTGTCGGCTTTTCAAGGAAAATTTAAACTCTTTGCCAGTCTTGTCTGGATTTAAATGATTGGCGCGTTAATCAAGAGCTTATACACACACGCGCGCGCGCACACACACACACACACACACATATATATATATATGTTTTACATCTCTCGACGAAGAAATTTTAAAAGAAGCCCTCGAGCAGTGAGGCATTCGATCAAAATAAAGCGATGAAATTGTCGAGATTCATGATCGAATCAAATTATACGATGTAACGCGAGACCGAAAAGCCTTTGAAAGTAAAGGATAAATAATTTGTGAACCTCTCGTCGCCGTTCGATACAACTTACCCGTAAGGTTTCCCGGAAAGCTCGGATCGGGGATGCTTTGCTAGGGCCGATTAAATCATTAGTAATCTAACCGCAAAGCAGGAGCTGCAATTTTTAAGTTTGGTGACTTTACATACAGCCGTCACGATGATCCTTATCATCTGCATTTATAATAATTCACCGTCACGTGACCATTTCAATTATCATAGTCATCTGATATCATTAAAGGCATCTAAGATATTCTCCATTTTACTGATCCATCAAGCCTGGTACTCATTGGGACCTTTGGTCATTGGTGGGAATTACGCATTTTCAGGCATTTTAAGTCTTCGTTGAAATTCATTTTCAACGAATGAAACGTCCGACTCTGCTGAACACAGAGTCCGCGGAACTTAATATTAATTGCAAAAACCGTTTTAGCGACGAAATGTCAAACTATATTTATGCTGTCTCGAATAATATCTTTCTCAATTGATCGAATCCTCATTCGATGCGGGGATGCATCATTTTTAAATATAAATTTTAATAAACGAGAAAATTAGAATATTTATTACGAAAAAAATATATCGCTTAGATATGCATCAACGGTTGAAAATGATTTTTTTTTCTTTAAAGTCACTTTATACGTTAATTATATGAATCAGTAACAGAAAAAATTATAGCCTCTTGAACAATTTATATATTTATATATATTCTATAATCACTGTATATATATATATATATATATATATATATATATATACAGTATTGTTAGTTGCTTAGTTGTGTGTCGTGTTATTGATAAGTAATAATTACATTAACAGCATCTTGTATGTTACTTACCAATAAAGCATGCAATGCTTCAAATTCAGCCGAACTATTTCAAGGTAAGAAATTTGCACGATGGAAAGCCAGGAAGTATGCAGTATAATATAAATTTGTAAATTATGTAAATTTGTTTTATAACGTTTTAATTGCTTTGGGGTTATTTGCATAATGAGAGAAATTTCAGAAATTGGAGCTCTAATAAATAACATTGAAGAGTATATAAAGGAAACAACGAATGAATAATTTTTATAAAAATGAGAGATAAATTTTATTCGATAATGAAAGAATACTCGATACCAAAAATTAGGAGAAAAAATAAATTTTGAATTTGCTAATTCGATGTGACGTAATTGATTGTAATTTAATATTTATACATAATATCCGTTTGAAAATAGCTCTTCGACGATTATCATTCGACGAGAAGTTCGTAACGAATCGTACTTCGGTAAAGCCAAAAGCAATAATTCATAAAGCACGCGATAGTCGCAAACAAAATTACCGAAGAAATTATCTAGCCGTAATGCTACGGCATTACTCTTCGATCGTTTTCATATATTCCTGTAGATAATCAACTGGTAATACTTACACAAATGCAGCTATTTCGTATGCAAATTTATCCGTTTACATACCCTAATTTACATGTAGCTTATAAGGCTTTCTATTTCAATTGAGTAAAAAATTCATTCTGTATTATTTATATATATATATATATATATATATATATATATACGCATCCCCTGCAGATCCTTTTTGCATCCGCTTTGCCATCCACTGGACTGAATCGACTTTTGTGGTTTGCTTTTTGCATGATTTTCTCTCTCTCTCTCTCTCTCACTCTCTCTCTCTCACTCTCACTCTCTTTCACTCACTTCGTTCCTCTCAGACTCAATCTCTATATCTACCTTCCTCTCCAACTATTTCTCCTTCTTTATCTTTAACGCGGTTTAATGGTTGCGCTGATTATGGTGGAGCTCTCGATGGTTAACGAAATCTTTTTTTCTTACACGGAGATACCGAATCTCGAATACGGGGAATCGTAAAATCTAACGATCGGAGTAACTTTGTTTTTGTTTTCTGTTGTTTTTTTCTTCGTTTTTCTAGAAATTTTGAATGCTCACCTCCTTCGGGCCAAAACGAATCATTTTGCATTGAAATTTCTGAAACGTACTTTTCTTAAGTGGCCTGGAGGAAGTAAATTTTCACTTTATCGGTCGTGCAATGGCAGATGAAAAATCTTTCGCTCTTTTTATGTTTTTTTTTTGTTTTTTTTTTGTGTTTTTATTTGAACGAAAGACGGTAATTTTATACGGCTATTTTTAAAATTAGTTATCTCTCGCCCCATTAATTCGGCAGTAGTATCGGATGAGTGCTATTCTCAATACGGTTATCACAAGCAATAGTAAATAAGCAATCCCCCACTACGGGGCAAATAATAAGCGTCGCAGCGATAAAATTTGTATTCCGCCGCAAGTACGATTAATTCGAAACGCCTTCGGAGCCTATCTCCGTGTATTCCATTTAAAGGTAATTTCTCTATCGAGACTCTATCCAGTTTATCGTCCGATAAACGAGCGCCAGGGACAGTGAAATTAAATATACCTATCCCTACCTATCCTACCTCCCCCCCCCCTGCCCACAACCCGGCCCTGCATCCACGCAAAATGCACGGCCGAGTCAACTCGATTCCGCTTTGATAGAAATCCCGATGCATGAGGCGCAGTGCAGCCGAGACCAACCCTATCTAATTCAAAATATTACCATTTCCGAAAACGCGGGCCAATAGCGTCGGCAGGTGGACGAGCGACGTGGGAAACATGGCAGATGGCATTGACGATCGCACTCCCGATATGCGCGATCTGCGTGGCCGTCATGATCGTCTACAACATCCACATGACCAGGAGAAGGCCCGCGGGTCGGCACTTCTCCGACGACTCTCTCGAGGCGCCCGATCGGCCGATCCTCGGTGGAGTCACTATCCGCGACATGCTCGAGATGACGACGAGTGGTAGCGGTTCCGGTGAGTCTCATCGCAAACGCAAACACCCACCTAACAACTTGCATTACTTTCAGTTTGCCGACAGCTGGGGAACGGTATGGCTGAAAGCTCCTGATTACGCCCACCACGTTGCTCCACATACCCCTCGACCTCGTTTTATTAAAAAATCAATCGGAATATATATACATATATACATATATATTTGGATTAATTGTAATCACTCCGTGGCTTTAATATTAACGTCCCGATCGTTCGACAATATCCGCAGCACAACGACGAGAGTCGTTTACAATACTTTGATTATTATTATTATTATTATTATTATTATTATTATTATTATTATTATTATTACTTATACCGACACACGTCACTTATTTCTAAAAAATCATGTTCCATCTCGTAAAGCTTGTATTCCCTTGACCGGTAAGGTTACCGGAATACCTTAAGATTTTTCGGTGAATTCCGATAGTGAGCGTTTCTTTCTTTTTTTTTTATTTTTTTAATTTATTTTTTTTTTGATTTTTCAAGAATCTTGGACCGACAAAATTAGAAAATTACAATAAAAGTATATTAACTTTGTGAAATTTGTTTGGCTATCCTTACATTTGACCCGCTCAATGCCGAATCTTTATATTGAATTCACGGCTACAAGTTTTACTTTTATTTATACAAAGCTCGAATCATTGACTAAAGCACACATTTAGCCGGTGAACTGTCGCTGTGTTCTCATGTGAAAGCCCGTGGTAATGGTTCCCTCGATGAATAATAAAGAAGCCACTTTCTCGAATTACAGATCCTTTTCTACAATTAATCGCGCTATATAACCATCGCCTCGACTCGTCAGACTCCGGGATAGTTTGGTGACCTTGTCAACTGAAATTATCGATTATTAATATATCGCGTGGGCGCAACAGTAATGCCCTCGTTATTGGTTCGATTGTCGCGTGATGGATCAGGCCTTCCCCGTCGCTCAAGACATGCCGTGGTGCAAGCAAAACCAAATGAGGCGTGCACCGGCGGTCGGCTACCGATTCTCGCGCCATGTGCTCTCGGCACTCCGTGCGACCAGCCGCGTGAACCCCGAGGTCATTGAAGGCGCTCCCTCCTTGAACACGTCGCGCGTCCTCGACTGGGTGGTGGCCTCGTCGTCGGGGCTCAACACCGACGAGGATGCGACGACAAATCGCGAATAGTCGATACGAAATACCCTACTACGATCGATTTTACTTTTTTTTTTGTTTTTTTTTTGTTTTTTTTTTATTTTTTTTTCTAACGATTTTTACCCATTGAACGTTGATAAGACGAATCTTACCAATTTTAGTGCCTATTTGATCGTCAGCGTGTCATCGTGTAGATGTGAGAGCTACCTATAGGTGAATTAATTATAAATTAGAATGAAAAAGATGTCGGTAAATAGAATTAATGCTTAAAGTATTCTCATTTCGAAGGCAATGTTTGCCGTGATTAAAATTTTCCCTAAAATTTTCTCCTAATTATGAATAATATGATTATTTGAATAAAATCTGATGTAAGCGCACATTTTATAATGCAAGTTACGACTCGATAAGGAGTACGCTATTTTATCAATAATTTCAGCGTCAAATTTTGCTGAATATTTTCATTGTTATCGCGTTACGATGGAGAGATAATCGCTCTTTTTATAAAAGCAAAAATAATAAAGAAATATTCATAAAAGGTAATAATTTCGTAGGAATTAATTGTACATGATTAATTATCGGAAATAGCAAGGCACGAAGCAGCAATTGACTTTCTTGAAAATAAACGAGTAAATAAACTTCAAATCCAATTATTATATAATAGTATGGATATTTTTATATATAAAGAAAAATTGTTTTATTAAAATTCTCTCCAAAGATAGTGCTTTTGATTATGTACAATGTTCGGCTAAACACTGGAGACATGTATTTTTCTCATTAAAACAGCACATTTACTTTATACGTGATAATTTTTTTAAGGCACCGAATATATTAGTACTTTTGGATAAATAATATCACTATATCATTATTGGCTCATAAGTGTAAAAGTATTCGATAAGTTGCTCGTACTAGATTGTAAACAAAGGATTACATAAGCAATACTATTATTACTATATTTTAATAAATTGTTGATTTTCGTAGTTTATGAATTCAACGTGCAACGTTGTGCATTGAACGAGACTTTTTATTTAAAATTTTACCGCATATTAGTGAAATAATAATTTGCCTATGTAATAGTAACAACTACATGGCACTGTTAGTTGAAATTGCAAATAGTCGTCAAATGTATTAAAATATGATATTTATAAATAATATATATTCAATAAATATAAAGCTTACAGTGATATTAAAAATTAAATCACTATATTTGAGAATGATTTTGCAAAAGTTTTTTTCTTCATACTTTTATAGTCTTAAATTAAAAGAATACTTATCCCAAATAAACAATCGTGATCCCTTCCAATGAATAATTTCAAAATAATTTTGTATTTTAACAAACTTTTTTATATAATTGATTCTTAATACGTATGAATTAATCTTATCGATCTAAAGTGATAAACTCGTTACAACGTTCTATTTTCCTCTATAAGTAAGTTTCTGTATATGAGAATTATAAGAATTGTAAATATTTATGCAAATATATTTATGTATTTTCGTGTATTTATGTAAATTTTAGTCATACGCATTATTATTACTATTGTTATTATTATTACATAAACGATCGACGTTCGAGCCAATTACTTTGTTTTAATTTTAGTTGTTACTTTATTAAATGCCGAAGTATTATTAATTGCTGTAGCATAAAGAAAAAAAGTACGAGTAATTAATTTTTCAACAAGTAAAAATGGTATTTTAAGCTCTATAATTGTTAAGAGGAATCAAACTATATATTGCAACAATAAAAATAAATTTGTTTTCACTTATTGACACTATTACTATAATATTTATTTGCATAAATAATGCAGCTTATGTTTAAACACATTGAAAATAAGGAAAAACTGATTGAAATTAAGCCTTGGTTAATATCTATTATAGATCATTTAAACTATGTCATGAATACTCTCTATTATCATTATTCGTAAATGGAAATTTTTAAAAAGCAAGTTTCAATGTATGTCGTGAAGTTGCTTTGCATTAAAATAAATACGATGTATTTGTCTTTGCTAAATTAATGAGCAAACGTTATGTAGTGAAACGAGGCTTTCACGATGATTCGTGGGTAGAAAAAGTTTTGTTTTCCTTCGAATATAAATATACTCCTGCACGTACATTATTCGCAACACCAAAACATCGTAATAACTCACACGCACACATATGCAAATACTACGTAATCTAACTCAACGCTATACTTGATTTTTTTTATATGCTATATTTAATGGGAATTAAAATTTTTTTAATAAATCTCCTCTCGTTTTATCTCTTTGCTTAACTTTTCAAAGTATTGAGAATAAAAGAATTGTCTTTTTTTTTAATGAAATTATTAAATCTATCATGCGCATTTGCTTTTGAGTACGTTGAGAAATTGAATTAAATTTTGTGAAAGTACATAAAGTTGAAAAGTAGTGATTGTATTTCAATATCATACAATGGAAATAAGATGAATATATTTTTTTTTTTATTTTTATTATTTTTTTTTTTTTTTTTTTTTTTGACTTCTCTTAAAAACGTATAAAACGCTTATACTTTCCAATTTATTTCCCTTTATTGCCACTTCACTGTCACACTCGAATGAAGGAAAATTTCTTTCGCACATCTTTAATACATAGTAGATATTATACACGAGAATCGTGCAAAAAAATAATTTATCACCGAGTATTAATAAAAAAAAATTGATATTTTTATCAGTAATACCTAGGATGTTTGTGGTCGAATAAAAAAACGTCGCTCTCAAGAATGCATATTTTTTATACGAAAAAATTTGTAGTTATGAATGTTAAGAAAAAACAAGTGTTTACTTAAATATACGGGAGTCGTTAATGTTCATTAAAATGATTATGTGATCATATTATTGCACGTGATATTTACCATTTCTTAGAAATTATTACACTTTCTTCATTTTCTTCATTTAGTGATACCTGACTACATAGTAATGCTTGACTCTTGAAATATTTCACGACCATTGCTTTATTACCGAGGACTGGTATAACAAACAATGTCTACGTATACGATTAGAAAAACATTTGGGCAATAACGAATGTGCTATCGATCGGTAATCACTTTATATTTCTTATGCATACACACTCGCGTAACAATATTCTTACATAATCGTTGGAAATCCATTGCATACGAGTGTTTCAACACATATCCAACACAATCCTTTTAAATCTACAACTTATCGAAAGGTACCATGCTTGCGTCATGCAATAACGTAGCCAATAAGAATTTCGGTACACTGTTCGATCAAACATTAAGCATTTTAATGACAACTAGAACGAACTCGGAGCGAGTAATGAGATGTAAAACACACAAACAAGTTTATCGGAAAGAGAACACCGATGGGATAAATTTAGCTATAGCAGCCGATGCTGCGTCTCCCATTCTTTTAATCAGACTTCTGAATTTAAAAGATTCTCTCATATATCTCGAATTTTCGATAATCGAACATCATAAAATCGAACATAAAATCACTCGATGTTAAACAATCGCAGAGCTCGACTCGCATCCACTAATTAATACGCCAAATAAATGCATTTTAGCGGTCTTTTAAGCGAATAAAAAGAAAATTGTCGAACGATGAACGGTGGTTAGTTCCCTCCCATATTAATCCATCGGTTATTGTCAATTAGTCAAGAATATTACAACGAATTTTCTATTTTCTTGTCCAGTGGGTCTCCCGCTCCTGGTGCAGCGCAGCATCGCTCGTCAGATCCAGCTGGTCGAGACGATCGGCAAAGGCCGATTCGGGGAGGTTTGGCGGGGTCGATGGCGGGGCGAAAACGTCGCCGTCAAGATATTCAGTTCGCGGGAGGAGAGGTCTTGGTTCAGGGAGGCCGAGATCTACCAGACGGTGATGCTACGACACGACAACATCCTCGGTTTCATCGCAGCCGATAACAAAGGTGCGTTCCGATAATACGCCATGCTGTGACGTTATGTCTAGGTTAGGCTAATTCAAAGTTTGAAATTCTAAAGCATTTCACATGATTTTTTCATTATTTTGCGAGGAGCCAGTTATATTATTCTAGAATTTACCTAATGCCACATAATGGACTTTTACAGAAACGTGAATCAGTGTTAGTCACAATCGAGTCTTCATTTGACAAAGATTTGATTACACAGTTCAGTTTTATATAATCTCCATCCAATCAATCGACCTTCATATGAATAAGTACAATCAATATTACACAATATTATAAATAATTAACCGCAAATGTACGAATACTATTGAATATGTTGAGTTTGAGAAAATGAAAAATTCAACACGTATTCGATAAAGTAATGAGCAATTCACGTATCATTATTATGCTAAGTGAGTAGGTTGAGCGAGTGTTGACAAAAAGAGAGTGAAGGCGATTATCGTATTCACCAAGTGGCCAGAAACTGCTAACAATAACAATCCAATTAGCCTTAAATGTTATTCTTAAGCATTCAAATAACATGTATAGAGTAGTTAGGAATCGAGCGAGAGCGAGCGAAATATCAGGGAATATAGGTTTAGGACTGAAGGCTGGCAATCATAAGGAGAGCGATAAGGGCCGATAGAGCCGGAGAGCAAAGATAAGGGTTTTGTTGGCCGGTATCCAAGAGTGGTGAAAGGAGAAGGAGAGTGAGAGAGCAGGCGCAGCCTGCGTCCTCGTAGGACTGTCGTAGGGGACCGCGGGCTTCCGTTTTGCGCGGCAACACTGCGCGGCGAACTAAAGGACGATGGGACAAACTACGAGTGGATAATAGAAGGATGCAGGATGGATCCACCACACGACCACCGATGAAGAAATAAGCCGTCCAGCGACCGCTGATCGACGGGTTTTTCGATGCCTCGGATTGTGCACCCACGGCTCTACATTCCTTAATGCTTCACTTTTGCTTGAACTTGGATAAACAACAGGATGAAGAGTCGATAAAATTCTTTAGGAGCGTAGTTTACCAAGAGACAATACTATCGCAGCCTAGATGAATCAAAGTTAAAACGACTCTTGGCTTTATTATTATTATTATTTTATATTTTATTTTTTTTTATTATTTTTATTATTTTTATTTAATATTTTTTTAATTTAATTTAATTTAATATTTTTATTATTTTATTATTTTATAATTTATTATTATTATTATTATTATTATTATTATATATATATATGTTTTTTTGTTTTTTTTTTTTTTTGAAGAGTCGTGCGATGTTCAAGGACATACCTCGCAGTGTCATTCTATGTTTTATCTAACAATTGATTTTTCATTAGTTTCGACTAATAGGGACATTCGAATATCGATAGGCCTACTCCTTATGTATCTAGATTAGGATTAATAATTTATGGATTGGAGTCTATGTGCACTTTACCAATTGACATGTTCCATTTCACTTTGAATTTCTGTAAATAATTTAGCTGTTACGGTTCCTGTTTTAATCTCTTTTATCATTTATACGATAAATTTCCATTAGAATTTCATCTCATTTATCTATTATTTCAAGCATGAAAATAAGTATTCTTGCACTGCACTGGCTCTCCGCTTATACGATCCTTTTATTTCTTTTCTCTCCTTATCTTAATAACATTAGTAGTCCCAGTCGAGTGTCGAGCCAGTGATGTTTTCGAGCTCGTTAGCCATACCGTACTTACAAAACTTAATTTGCCAATACTTAACGTTTAAATTTAATGAATAGTTTCCCATTAAATACGTAACCATGGAGTCATTTTCTATTATAGCAATATATCTTTTTATTTCGCAAGCCAAATGGTATGCACAATATTATATGATATATTTAATAGTTTAATAATCAACGCGACGAGGATTGTTTTTGTAGAAGGTGAGTGTCGTTGAGTTAGAGACTCGGTTTAGAATATATAAGACACTTCATCCTAATAGATTCTCTAGTAGATAAGAAAGAATGTTATATACTTACGATGAAAAATCTCGAATATTAAATAAATGTTATATAATCCTAACGCTCTTGCTCGGCACATTCAAATGTACGACGATCCATTTGTATTTGAGAAACATTATGATCAATCTTATTTTCCTTCCGGCAGGCCAATTAAGAATGAAAAATCTTATTAATCCACATTGGCCAGCCTTTAATTGATTATAATAATATATTAATACAATAAAATGTCAATGCCAGTATAGATATTTATGGCAGTATAGATATTTATGCGAAGTGGGATGGGTAAAATAAACTAATTAGCCGTACACAATTGTAACAACGCAATACGCTTGTGATCCAGGAAATAATTCCAATGAATTACATTAATTTTTCGATAAATCGCTCGAAAATAAATAAAAATCAATAAAGAAACAAAAGTATCGCGATACAATTAGCTGGCATAAGCTCGTTAAAGGGCCCCACTCGTACGGAATAGGAAATAGAATGCAATGTCAGGAGAAAGATCATGGAATACTGCCCATAAAGCGATATCATAGAATGTGAAATAATGGCGATTATTGATGAAAAAGTGACGATTGACTGTCGTACGCGCAGATAACGGGACGTGGACGCAGCTCTGGCTGATAACGGACTACCACGAGAAGGGATCGCTGTTCGACTACCTGAATCGCTCTACCGTCGACACGAACGGCATGATAAGGATGGCGTTGTCGATAGCCACGGGTCTGGCTCACCTGCACATGGAGATCGTCGGGACGCAAGGGAAGCCCGCGATCGCTCACCGCGACCTCAAGTCCAAGAACATACTCGTTAAGACGAACGGGACCTGCGCCATCGGGGACCTCGGGCTCGCGGTGCGCCACGACGTCATCACCGACACCGTCGACATACAACTCAACAACCGAGTGGGCACCAAGCGGTACATGGCACCCGAGGTTTGTAGAAAATTTGTAAAAGCCCTGTTCCTCGCCGCGGGGAGGCTATATTTTTCCATTCGTTCCTTCTCCTCGATTATTGAGGCGATCCAACTTCCAAGCTTCTCCTCATCCCGTTCACATCCTGTCACATCTCACCACAACTCTCAACGCTCAAAGTCCCTTGCCCCTTATTCTTAATTAAGTCATACGTGGTAGAAAAATGTTTATGAGTGGGCGTGTGAGTACGCGTCACCACGATATTCGTTTCACTTTAATCATACGTTATAAGAAACTTTGCTGGTCGTTTGATCGATCCGTGAATCGTACAAATCCCTTGCAATACGAAAAATCTATCGACTTTAATTTACTTTTAATGTAATAATCTTGTTAACTGGAAGTTTTGCAACTTTTTACGCTTCGGCTTCGAGCTAATACCGTCAAAATTTTTCCATTTTTTACAAATCCTCAGGCTGTTAAACAGTGTCTCAGCACTTAAAGCGATTATTTCGAAGCTCTCAAGTTCATTCATTGTCTAAGCAAATTGTGACAAACAACGAATTACGAACTGGGCGACTAAAGACTGCGAGTTGATAATATCCTTTAAGTAGATTTACATCACTTTTTCGCTGTACGTGTACAAGGCTGAAGGGACTTTGGTCTTGATTAAACGTTATCGTTGCAGGTACTCGAGGAGATGATAAATATGAATCACTTCGATTCCTTCAAGAGGGCGGACGTCTATGCCCTCGGGCTCATTCTTTGGGAGATTGCGAGGCGCTGCAACGTGGGCGGCATTCACGACGACTATCAGCTGCCGTTTTACGATCTCGTGCCCTCCGATCCGACGATCGAGGAGATGCGTAAGGTCGTCTGTGCGGATAGACAAAGGCCGTCTATACCCAACAGGTGGATGTCGATCGATGTAAGTTTAACTATGGCCAAGCATCGTCGCAAATATCTATTTTAGTCCGACAAATTTTTTGGTTAATTTACTAGCTCTTAACCATTCTTGCTTAATCTCTGATAATATATTTGCTCTTTCATAATTTGCAAATCCTTAGCCAGGCACTCCAGTAGGTTGGGGTAAGATAGTAATGCTGCAGCGAGACTTTTCAATTTTATAAATTTCGGTACCACGCGGCTTTTTCAACAACGGTATAATTAATGTAAAAACAGCTGTCTATTATTGAAAACGAAACATTTTCAATATTTTTATATATTAACCATTTTTAAAGAATAATTTTAATAATTTTAAAGACGAAATTTTCAGAACTATGAGAAGTTCGTTACGTCGAATTGAATTAATCAAATAAAAATTTTCACGATTTGAAGTAAATGAAGGAAAGTAACATTGTGCATTGGTTGTGTCGAAAAACTTTTTACGGAAAATCTTGATCTGCAAATTTTAAATATAAAAACGGATGGAAATTATTTGAAATCGTTGCAACTGAAGATTATTATTTTTTATTTGATGTAAGGTTTTCGAAATTTGTTATTATCAAATAATATTTACAATTAGTGGGTCTTTATATATATATATATATATATATATATATATATATTCATTCGTTTTATCGTCTTTCTTGGTTGGTTTTGTAGTAAACTTCACTTTGGAAAAAAATAAGAAATACTTCATTCATATTTACGTTCAGTAAAAAATGTCATATTATCTATTAACGTTATTTTTTCTACCTTAATACGTCCAAATTTTTAATTTTCTACATTGATTTTAGTCAATATTTAATACTTATTATATAACGCTCTATCGTTACGGCGAAAAGAAATTTGCTAAATAAAATATTCTTATATCGTTGGCTTCCGTTTATTCAATTTAAATAATAAAAATTGTAAATAAGATGTGGATTAGTTCGGAATGCCTAATTGCTGATTCTCGTTCTCCTTCAAATTCTAATTCGTAATATACCATTCAAAGAATACTAATCACCCTCTTCGTGTATTATTACAACATCTTGAATTTTCTCACGAATCTACAAGAAATTGTTTGGTATAATTTTAATACTAATTTCACAATCAAATCTAAGCTAACGAATTTTTTGTACTAACAGGCATTGCACGTGA